CCTCCTCCTCCTCCTCCTACTCCACAATTACTCGATATGAATACTACTCTCCCTCTTCCCCTGATGACGGTTTGAAAGTATTACCCCCCACCCCCGCGTACTGTTTTTAACACACAGGATTCCCCGGAGTTGGGTGTTCGCCTGCATTTGTTTCCAAAATGCTGCTCTCGCTGAGGCGCCGGCCTCATTTTCGGGCCCCGCTCGTTCCGAATCGTGCTCCCGCTGCAGCGCTGGCCTCATTTCCGTGCTTCCGCTCGTTCCGAATCGTGCTCCCGCTGCAGCGCTGGCCTCATTTCCGCGCTTCCGCTCGTTCCGACTCGTGCTCCCGCTGCAACGCTGGCGTCATTTCCCGTGCCATGCCACGGCATGCAATGCAATGCTAGGTTGATACTACGCTTTGCGGTGCTCTTCTACGCCATGCCATGCGGTGCTCTACAATGCATCGCGTACCCTTTCGGGATCATTGCCCTGCTCGACATCCGACTGTGCGAGTGGAGAGGGGATCTACGCCATTGTAAGGGATGGGAGGGAGGGGTAGGATGTCAGATATGACGCGAGCGCACCTAGCTTGTCCTCCCCCCCTCCCCCCTTCCCGCGGCCCGCTGAAGCCGCGCACCAATGGGGCACTTTTGCCTGCGATCATTCTTGCGTGTCGCCGACCAATCGGGGCGCGAGTGCAGGGTGTCAGTGCTAGCGCTTGTCCCCACCTGATCCTCTCTCATCCCCCCTTCCGCACCCAGGGTCAGCGCCAGGTCAGCCAGAGCCATGTCCCGAGCCCTGGCACGCCACAGAGTACCGCCCAGACCCAGGTCAGCGGAAGGGTGGCGGGACTCGGCTGCGCTGCTCCCAGACCCGGATCAGCCAAAGGGGATTGGCAGACCACTGTAACGGCTGAACCCCATGCCCCGGCTTCCACGGCTGGAGTTTGTCCGAGACATGGGCCCCCAGACCTCTCGACACTTGCCGTAGGGCCGACTTTCATCCCGAGTTCTTTTCCCGCAGGCGTACAGTCGGGGCGCTGAACAAGGAACCCTTTTCGTTGGGCAGGGGCTCGGTGTTCCTTGATTGTTTCAAAGTTAGCCTAGGGTTTTCTGCAGGTTTTCCCTGGGAAATCGAGGTTGAACTTATGGGAAAAAGGCACCTCGTTCCTTATTTGGGGTTCCTTAGGTCAACGCCTCGACTGTAAAACGGCAAAAGACTGGCCGTCTGTATGGGTTCAGAGCGCCAGATGTACGGGGACCAGCGCTAGCACCGACCCCCTTCCCACGCGCCCCGATTGGTCCGCGACACGCAAGAGTGATCGCAGGCAAAAGTGATCCCTTGGTGCGCGGCTTCAGCGGACCGCGGGAATGGGGGAGGAGGAGGAGGAGGAGGAGGAGGAGGAGGAGGAGGAGGAGGAGGCGGAGGAGGAGGAGGAGGAGGAGGAGGACGTCCGTTGCCATTTTGGCTCAAGTGGGAACAGGCCCCATCTGAGCGGGCAGCTCTCCTTTCGAGCGATCCTGTGCGTCAGGCGCAGGCGGACACCTTTCTTCCAGTCTGGTGCCCCGCCATCAATCTCTCCATTAGCACGGCGACCCTCGCCGAATACCCGCTCGCCCCATGGCTCTGCCTGACCGCAGTGGTCGCTCTGCCTCTGTGGGTGCATCTACTCCGACCCCGCCGCCCAAGGTCCAGAAGGTTGATGGCAAGCTCTCCAATGGCAAAGGGTCCTCTTCCTCGCCTGCCGCATCCCACCCTGTTCAGCATCCTGTTCCTGCTCCCCAGCCTGGCCCTGCTGCTGCGCCTGTTCGCATGGAAGGCGACGACTTCGGCGCGTCCCCGGATGACCCCTCAGACCTGGACGTGCTCAGAGCCTACGTCGACTATACCACGAATGTCGTCATGGCCTCTATCCTCAACATGCAGAAGGGCCTCGCCACCCTCTCGGACACCTTCACCAAGCACTGCGACAACCTCGAGCAGCAGGTCGACTCGCGCATCGGTGCCACGGAGCGCCGTCTCGACGCGCAGGAGTCGAGAATGGATCCCATGTCTCAAGAGATTCGATTGCTACGGGACCTACTGAAGCTGGCCCGCTCGGAAGAGCCCCTGCTGTTGCTCCCTCGGCCGCCTTCCGTCGCAAGACGGACCCCACCATCTTGGTCGTCCGCACTGCCGCCCTCGCCAGCCGCGAGGCCGTGTGCGAAGGACTCGTTGAATGGCTGGCCGCATCAAATCTCGAGCCTGAGAACTGGAAGGTTGAAGGAGAGCCTGCCGGCACCCGCTTCACGGCCAAGGTCAAAGGCGCCCCAGGCTGGGCTGCCAGAGTGGTCCCACAGGCCCTCGGCAACGTCAAGCTGGCAGATGGCTCCGTCAGACGCTTCTCTGCCGTCTCCGCCTAGCGCCAGAACGTGGACATGTACGTCACTGGTGACAAGAGCATGGCCCAGATCCGCAGGGAGCTCGACCTCAAGAAAACCAAGCGCCTCCTCTCAGAGAAGTCTCCCGATAAGGCCTTCTTCGCGGACAGGAACACAGGCAAGATATCGTGCCAGTGGCGCGCCTTCCTCAAAGTCACCCCGCGCCAGAATGAGCCCCCCCTCGTCGAGTTCGACCAGAAGGCGCTGGACCACCTGGGCCTCTCGAAGGCCACGATCGCGTGCAGCATCGAGCAGTCCTTCTCCCAGGGCACGGAGTCTGAGGAGTGGTCTCTGTAGTAAAGTGCTCCGTTTCCTAATGCTGCCGACCCGAAGTCGGCCACCGGGTTAGGCCTCGTCTCATGGAACGCTCGCGCGCTTTGCCAATTTCGCCCAGACACCCGATTCAGAAAGCTGAAGTACCTCGCCAACCTTCTCCAGGGCTTTAGCGCCGTTGCCGTGCAGGAAACTCATGGGTCCGTGGACGACGCGACCGATTTCGCGCACATGTCCGCTTCTGGTGTTGACGTTCGGGCCTCGTTCGATGGCCCCCACAGCCGCCGCGGCGGCGTCATCACGTTCTTTCCTCGTCAGACTTCCTGGGCGGGTACGGGTACTTCAGTCTATTCTGAGGCTATTGCCCCTGGGTGAGTACTACTCACCGAACTTGAGTTAGGCACGACACTGAGCTCCACAGATCACATCTACATACAGCACTTCAACATACATAACTTTGGGCTACCTCGGGATCTGATCGGCAACGTGATAGACTCGAGTACGCATCATCTCAGCATCCCTCAGAGGCTTCCTGATAGATACTTCGTGGTTCTAGCGGGTGACTTCAACCTGGCTGCGGAGCCCCCCAGGTCCCCGGTTCCACCTGACTCCCTCGAGGCCCCACGTGACCTTGTGGAATGGCGCCGTCGGCGCCGCTTCCCGTGGCAGCCCCTTTCCCAGAAGCTCTTGGAGGTCTCTGCAAATGAGGACACACACGATAACGGCACGTACTGGCACACTTCGAAGATAGACAGGGTCATCCTCGGCGTCCCCAGCTGGGTCCCGACGCAGATGCATGTCTCGGCGTCCGTCAGGGACCCTCCCGAGACGCTGGAGCAGCGCGGGATCTCTGACCACGCCCCGCCGCAAGGAGCGCTCCGCCATCGCCCTCCCCAGCCCTCTGCTTCCCAACCCGTCCCGAAGGCCATCTTTCGTCACCCCGACTTCCGGAAGTTCCTGGAGGAGTGTTGGGAGTCTCTGGATCCATCGTCGGCGGCACCGTCGAACCGTCTACGAGTATACAGGATCATGATGAGAGAAGCCACCAGATACGCAAGCAACGCGTTATTCACGAACGAGCCGACGACGACAACCTCTCGTCTCCTTCTCCTTCGCTCAGTGGCCAGAGCTGTGTGGCGACAAGATAGGGTACTTGCTCGCCGTCTGCTTCGGTATGACATTGCACGAGAGCACTTGCGAGTTGAGCCTGACACGCAGACCATATCTCTGGTGCATCCCGCTTCGGTTGCAGATGATCTCGACACCCTCCAATTTGAAGATGCGGAGGCTGAGATACGAGAGACGAGGGGTGGCCTACGGTCTCAGGATCTGCGGGCGCAGCCTCGAGCTCGCAAACGCATGCGCCTGCTTGCTGGTCGAGGTTAGCTGTGGGCGCCGTTTGACCGCTCCGTCAGACTCGTGGGGCTGCGCACGGACGGGAATATCCCTACTTCCGCCTCATCTACACACGCTGGTCGGAAGAAGTAGGTAAAAACATGAAGCAGGATGGCGGATCAAGCAGATTGGGTCCAGGCCCTCCCAGAGAATAACAAACACAGCAAAAGCGCGTCGATTCTTGAAGTAGGAAGGCGCTTGAAATAGATTGGGATCTGGGAATCCAACAATACCTACTTTCAGCGACCGGCGTGTACTTCGTCCGCATCTACATCTCAGAAGCTAACCGTGCACCGGGGCCAGGTCTCTGAAGAGGAGCGCATCGATTCCCCGGCCGCCAATGCCTCCTCGTCGGCATCCCTCCTCCACACTTACACGGTGTGCAAGCTTATGTTGACAGCCAAACACGCTCTGCCCCAGGCCCCGATGTCCTACCTTGCGCTGCGTGGCAGGCCTCCCCAATGCGCTCATAGGTCCTCCACGATGCGCTCAACTCGATGGGAATCAGATGCCCCTCGGCTACAATGACATGCTCGGAATAGTTGTGCCCAAAGGTAAAGACCCCCCAAGACTCCCCGCACGGTGTCACACGTCACGTTACAGATCTTCGCCCCCTCGGCCTAAAGAACACAAAAAACAAGATCATCACAGGTGTAGCCTTCACACGGTTAAGTAAGCAGCTAGCCAACACAATCAAAAAGATCCAAAGGGGATTCGCCAGCACGCGCAATTTCGGCAACAACGCAGTCGAGCTAGATGCATACAACTGTTGTTATTCCATGCAGATGACGACTACCGCAGCCATGCCTCCCCTTGTGGGATTCGATTTCGGTCAGGCCTGTCCCAGTCTTGCGCGCGACTGGATAATCAGAGTCTTCAATGCCATGCCTGTGCCGCTCCCCCTGAAGGATTTCGTGCGTTTCCTGCTCTCAGGAGTGTGTTGCTATGGTGCAGTTGACTCAGGACCTACTCTCCTTCTGGATCCTGTGCGGCATCATCCAGGGCTGCCCGAGCTCGGGCTGTGACTTCGCGCTAACTGCAGATCCCTTCATGGAGCACTTCGACGGGGAGATGTGCATGAAAGGATGGGGGGGGTGCGAGCATGCGCAGATGATTTCGGAGCGGCCCTCCGTGACGTCTCCTCCCCACTTCCTATGCACCGCAGATTCGCTGCGGCCGAGAGAGTTGCCGCGCTTAAGCTCAAAATTCGCAAGTGTGAGATCGTCCCGCTGAGTGGCCCGTTCTCGCTCGTGCTCCAGAGTGGCTACGCAGATCGCGTTCGACAGCTCGTGCCTGCCTGGGAAGGGATCCAGATCAAGCCAGTCCTGAAGGGCCTTGGCATGTGGCTGGGACCAGAGGTCGTAAACCACTGCTGGCGCTCACCGATGGCGAAATGGCGGACACGTTCTACTGAGCTCGCCCTGACTGGCGCCCCGTTGCGAGTTGCTTTAGTGAGGGGGTCTCCTACAGCGACCATTAGCAGGCCATGGCTGTTAACTTCTTGGCCCGCGGAATGAAAACACAAAAAAACTAACTTGACAGACGAAGCGCCTTGAAATTTTCAAAATTCCGCTGAGCACTGATTTTTGCACGGCCTGTTTTGCCACCGGCTGCTTTGCAATATTCAGAATTCCACGAGGCATTGATTTTTGCCAGGCATGCTTTGCCATGGGGCGATGTGTCATCGATTCAAAAGCGGGGAACCCCAGGCGATGCTCATTGGTACAACGCCCAAAGGGTTTCCGAAACAAACAGCGCACATGTTGGATTTGGCGCGCGGCGTACGCGAGTGAGAAAGCAGCCGCTTCTCTAGGGCAGCGCGCGCCTTGAGGGGACGCAAGCTTCAACGCGCGAGCGCGTCCACCGCGCAAGCGCAAACGCTACGAGCGACGGGAAAAAACCGTCCGCTGCTCGGCGATGCGCACACCTGTCGCGACATCACTCGAGAGCGTCGCAATCACATTTGTTTCCGTCCAACTTTGAAGACGGCGCTGCGTAACCAAAGCGCGCGCGGGCGCGCCAAAATCGAAGCAAACACGCACGCGCACGCGCACGCGCACGCACACACACACACACACACACACACACACACACACACACACACGCGCGCACACACACACACACACACACACACACACACGCACGTGTACGTAGCGAGCCAAACTTTTGAGTCGCGACGGGTACAAGCTAGACCAGGGCGCGGCTAACATAATTGACGGCAGCGCAAACATCTCTCTCTCTCTCTCTCTCTCTCTCTCTCTCTCTCTCTCTCTCTCTTTCTATATATATATACAATATCATCTGTAAATGAAAACAAAGAAAACGGATCGCGGTATATTGCCCAGCAGCCAGCCCGGAAAAGCACAATGCCGACGCGCACTTCCGCGCCGCGAAAGGGCCTCCATGCCGCTGGAGCTTCCGCCACCGCCCCCCCCTTCCCGTAGTGCAAGGTTTCATCGTCTCAAACGCGCGGGTCCGCAAGCGATGTTGCTTTCTGGAGCGCCAGACGGCTCCCCCACAATATCCGCGCGCATGTTGGGCTTGGAACTTAACGTGCGGGACATGAGAAACGCACTGATTATACAAAGCAGCGCGCGGCCAGGAGAAGCGCGAACTTAACCGCCGCGCAAGCAGGAGGAGCATTGGCCGAAGAACGGCCGTGACCCGGCCTCCGTCGGCCTCCTCAAAAGGCTCCAGAAAAAATCATTTTCAGTTGCGGCACTTATATGTCGACTTCTATATTCTGGAAAATGCAGAATTATCCCGCGCGCGCGAGCGCCGGTGACCCGGCCTCCGTCGGCCTCCTTAAAGGGCTCTAGAAAAATTCAGATTTAGTTTCGGGAATAACATGTTGACTTTGAAATTCTGGACAATGCAGAACTCTCCAGCGCGCGCGAACGCCGGTGACCCGGCCTCCGTCGGCCTCCTTAAAGGGCTCCAGAAAAAATCAAATGTAGTTTCGGGAATAACATGTATATTCTTATATTGTAGACAATGCAGAACTCCCCACGCGCGCGCGCGGGTGACCCGGCCTCCGTCGGCCTCCTCAAAGGGCTCCAAAACAGAACAAAACAAAAAAACATATTCAAACGCGGCACTTACATGTCGACTGGTATATTCTGGACAATGCAGAACTATCCCGCGCGCACGAGCGCCGGTGACCCAGCCTCCGTCGGCCTCCTGAAAAAGCTCAAGAAAAAATTAGATTTAGTTTCGGGAATAACATGTCGACTTCTATATTCTGGACAATGCAGAATTCTCCAGCGCGCGCAAGCGCCGGTGACCCGGCCTCCGTCGGCCTCCTTAAAGGGCTCCAGAAAAAATCAAATGTAGTTTCGGGAATAACATGTCGATTTATATATTGTAGACAATGCAGAACTCCCCACGCGCGCGCGCGGGTGACCCGGCCTCCGTCGGCCTCCTTAAACGGCTCTTCAACCAGCCAACCTGCCTACCAGCCGGCGCACCAGCCAACCAACACACTGGACTTAACCAACCAAACGGCGCACGCGGAGCCTTACGTGTACAAACTTGTAGATAGGCGAGGATTATCGCGCCCCGCGATGCGCGATGCGCGGTGAACTTCACGCCCCTGCTCCGCCGCCCTGGACAAGGGCGGCTCTCCTGCCGGGGCCGCGACGCGCGAGGCGCAATAATCTTCGCGCCCCCAGGGGTGACCAAGTGCAAAGGCCTTGGGCGGCCACGTGTTTCAGAAATATGAAAACCCACGGATGCAAAGCACAAAATGAGTATGCAGGCGTACAGTGAGGGTCTTGACCTAAGGTGTGACATGAGGAACTGATGCCCCCACCTCGGCATGCGGATACATGCAGGGGCGACAGCGGGGGGGCCCGAGATTGGAGCTGGACCATAACGCAGCCACCGTTCAATCATGTCGAGCCAGTGAGCTCCGAACCGCGTGGCCGAAGGAACGGGGGGGGCTCTTGCGAGGAACTGGACCTCACTGCCCCGTACCTTGGCACGCGGATACATGCAGGGGCGACAGCTCCAGCGCGCGCCCCGCAAGGAACGGGGGGGCCTGAGAACGGAGCTGGACCATAACGCAGCCGCCGTTCAATTATGTCGAGCCAGTGAGCTCCGAACCGCGTAGCCGAAGGAACGGGGGGGGCCCTTGCGAGGAACTGGACCTCAATGCCCCGCGCCCTGGCGCGCGGAACGGGCGAAAGCTCCAGCGCGCGCCCAGCAAAGAACGGGAAGGCCCCGGAGAGGCGCAGGGCTTACACGCGACCGCCGTCGCATTACGTCGAGCAAGCGCAAGGAACCGAGCCCACCCGTGGAGCCCCGTTCCTTAGACCGTCCGCCCCGATCGACAAAACGAACCCGCGCGTCCAAAATCGCAAGGAACACCGGGGGGGCTCGCCGCCAAAAAGGCAGCGGAACGCATGCAAACCTAAGGAACGTCCGGGCCCCTTTTGAAAAGTAAGTGTTCCTTACTCAAGGCGCTCACTGTGCGCGCCTCCGTCGGCCTCCAGAAAGCTTCACAGAAAAGTTCAATTCAGTTTTTGGATTTACAAGGCGATCTTCTTATTGTGGGCAATCCAGAACTTCCTACACGCGCCCGCGCCGCGGCGCGCGCGCGTGGTGAGTTCTGTATTGTCCACAATAAGAAGATCGCCCTGTAAATCCAAACATTGAATTTGACTTTTCTTTGAAGCTGTAAGGAGGCCGAGGGGGGCGCGTAGTTCTGTATGTGGACGCTACAGAATTCACCGCGCGCGCGCGTAGGGAGTTCTGTATTGCCCACAATGCCATGCAGAACTGCGCGCCTCCGTCGGCCCCCTTACTACTTCACAGGTAAAAATAAATTCAGTCTTTGGCTTTACAAAACGATCTGCTTATGGGGGGCAATCCAAAACTCACCACGCGCGCGCGCGGGGAAACCAAATGTGAAACTGAATTCTCTGGCCCCAAGGACTCGCCGTACAATGGGCAAATGCGTTGGAAACCGCAGCGCGCGCCGCAAAGTCGCGCGCGCGCGTTGGACAATGAGCGGGGAACCATATTGCGCAGCTCAAGGTCGCGCGCGCGCGCCCTTGCGCTGCGCACTGTGGTTTTCTACGCATGTGTCAACGATGTCAGCGTGAAAATCAATAGGGGAAACCCTAAGCAAAATTTAGTTCTCTGAATCCAGGAGATGGCCACACGATTAGCAAATGCGTGGAAAACCACAGTGCGCAGCGCAAGGTCGCGCGCGCGCGACCTTGCGCTGCGCACTATGGCTTCCCACGCATGCGAACTCGAAGTCCAAATCGGGAATGCATCATGTAAACAATATTTCTCTGGCCCCAACAGATGGCCATGCAGTTGATAATTGCGTGGGAAAGCCAGCGCGCAGCGCAAGGTCGCGCGCGCGACGTTTCGGTGCGCACAACGGTTTCGTCCCATAAATTTGTGAACGATGTGAACGCGAAAACCAAACGATGCGCAATTTAATACTCGTCGCAACAGATGACCATACAAGTGGAAACCATAGTGCGCAGCGCAAAATCGCGCGTGCGCTGCGCACTTCGGTTCCCGCGCGTTTGTCGTCGGTGTGAACGCGAAAACCCTAAGGGAAAACCAGATTTGAAATGTAGTTCTCTGGCCAGACACATAACAAATGCGCGGCGCCCAATGGTTTTCCACGAACTGTTAAGTGCATGGCCATCAGCGCGCCATGGCTTTCCTGCGCCGGCTGCCGCGGCTTGCTGTGACCAGCGGGCGACCAATAGTGGGCCATGGGTGCAAACGCGCCCAAACGGCTAATCACGGGAAAAGAATCCACGGGGGGCGGGCCAGGGGCATCGGGGCCTTGTTTTCGTCCCAAGGAAATCGGGGGGGCGGGGGGGGGGACCTCCTGCGGTTAACCCGCGACATTCCCGGCTGCGGAGCCCGCCGCGTGCGCAAAATTTCCATCCGGGCCACTGCCCGATCTCGCGCAATTGCCTGCCGGGTTCGCTGAATTCCCAGCCAGGTAACCAACCAGAATCGCCGGATTACCGGCCGGGTGCGCGGAGTTACCAGCCGGGCGCGCGGGAATTAACAGCCGGGCTACCGGCCGGGTGCGCGGAGTTACAGCCGGGCTGCCGGCCAGGCAAAGGGCCGGCCGTCTGCGGCGTTCTGTAGCGGCGCTGTAGCCCCGCTACAGAATGTGCTGCAAGGCCAAGCTAAGGGCCGGGCTACCAGCCGGGCTACCGGCCGGGTTACCGGCCGGGCTGGGAATTAACAGCCGGGTTACCAGCCGGGTTACCAGCCGGGCTGGGGCTAACAGCCGGGTTACCGGCCGGGCGCGCAGTTAACAGCCGGGCTACCAGCCGGGTTACCGGCCGGGCCGGGTCACCGGCCGGGTTCGTAGAAT